ACAGCTTTTCTTTCTCTCTTAAACTGTCTCAACCTATGAGTTTCATCATTTTTACCCTTCTAACTCTCTCCCTGATCCCATCAGGTGGAGTGAAGAACTGGCTGTGCAGGGCTGAGTTGCCAGCTGGTGTTAAACCATGACATCACAGCAAAATTCATGATGAAGGAAAAGATTTGCAGAGCAAATATTTTCAGAGTGAGTGTTTCAGAGCACACATACAATATAAACAGAGCAGGGACAGAAATCAGAAAGTAACTTTCTGTCCAAGAAAAAGAACAAGGTCCTGAGCCCATACCATAAAGAGTAGCTCATTATAATTTTGCAGACATAGATTTAACAGGGTCTGGGAAACAAGACAGTCCCAGTCACTTGATGCATAACGCAAATACATATTTTTCCTCACATGTATCCATATTAGACATATCGTCTCCCTTTCAAAAAGTGATTTTTTTCATTTAACTTGACATATAAATTAGTTGATAAAACAAGATTATTTTATTCTTTAGTTCACCATAGATACTTAATCACTGTACATATTTAAATAATTCCCAGCAATTCAATGACATCAAGTTTAAATTAGTTACTTCACCTGAAAAGTGCAATATTTTTCATAAATGCTACATCAGCATTTAATAATATTTTATAATTGTGTGATGTTTTACATTTCTTTGTACTGTATATTCACAGTTATGAGCTATAAGACAGTGTTATGAAAAAATATTTCAAACAAGGTGGAACATCAGTGAAAGAGATCTAACAAAGTATCACTTTGACTTTACTCCTTCCTGTACTACTTGTACTACAAGGCCAACCCCATTCTGGACTGCATCAAAAGAAGTAATTCTGCCCTCTGCTCTCATGAGACCCCACCTGGAGCACTGCATCGAGCTCTGAGGCTGCCAGCACAAGGAAGAACATTGGCCTGTTGAATTGAGTCCAGAAGAGGGACACAAAGATGATCAGAGGGGTAGAACACCTCCCCCATGAGGAATGCCTGAGCGATTTGATTTTGTTCAGCCTGAAGAATAGAAGGCTCTGGGCAGAGTTTACTGTGGCCTTTTGGTACTTAAAGGTGGGGATCAAAAGATGGGGACAGACTTTTAGTACGGCCTGTTATGACAGAACAAGGGTTGAGTTTTCAGAATGGTTTTCAACTAAGAGAAAGCACAATCAAACTATATGTAAGGATGAAATTCTTTACTGTGAGGATGGTGAGACACAGAGCAGGTTGCCCAGAGAGATGGTAAGTGCTCCATCCCTGGAAACCTTTAAGATCAGGTTGGGCAGGGCTCTGAGCAACCTGATCTAGGTGGAAGATGTCCCCTGCTCATTGCAGGGGTATTGGACTAGATGACTTTTAAAGGTCCCTTCCAACCCAAACTATTCTATGATTTTAATTAAGCAACTCCTGCAGACTTCCTAAATGAAATTAAATAGAAAATTGTTTATAATTGCATATGTTTAAATGAATAGTATAAAAGAACAAGACAACTAAATACTTCAAATTGACTTTCTTGGTACTCTTTTTGTTATAGTACCTTCTGCAAAAGTAAAATGAAATGACATAAAGTGTTAGCATGTAAAATGTCTTAGTGAAATGGCTTGTAAATTGCTAGGTGTCATATACGACAAATACGTATCTTTGGTGCTATATTTTCCATGTCTTTAATAAACCTTCTCTGAAAATGAGACATGATCATAAATTACAGTAAAAGCACAAAATCCAATGTGATATTACTTCTTCTTTCAGTAACATATCAACATTACATTTCATGTGGCTAAACTTCCTTCTCCCTGTTGTCCTACAAAATGAGACATACCACCATCTCTCAATTTCTCAGATTCATATTCATGTGCATTTCAGTAGAATTTTTTTGAAATAACTTTAATTGTGAAGTATACGGTATATTTCTCCGTATTAGCTGAGACCAGGGTATGCAGACACGTATGTTCTACTTTTCTCAACAAACAAGTAAGTCCAAGCATCTCTCTTCCTCTTGCTAGCTTACTTCACTACTTGAGGACAAAGGCACACACTACCAGGTTCAGTTAAATGAGACCCCTGAATCCCAACATATTCAAGATATTGAAAATAAGTCATCAAAACTCCAGAAAAAATATATTTGTATTATTATCTTATATGATGAAATAATACATCTGCTTAAAATCTTAGCACCCAAGACAGTCTCCAGACATTTTTTGCTTTTGTGATCTGTGGACTAGTCAATTACAGTATATAATATCCTAAGCTCATGAGATCTGATTTCATAAAAGAACTTCTGAGTTCTAAAATCAGCTCATATCAGAAGTTCAGAGCATTTGCTAAAGTAAAAAGAAACTATTTGCACATTACATAAATAACTGTCCTTCCTCTCAACATAGTTTACAAGTACTTGAAGTTCCTATTGTACTTTTTTCTCACAATGAAAACTTTTCTAGCTTTACTTTCCTCTGAGTAAAGTCTAGCTAAGACCCAAGCTTATTTTTCATGTAGCTAATTCTGGAAGTATCACAAGAATCATCTTGAGTGCTCCCAATGGCAGAAGAGTGACCTCAGCCATTTATGTTCAGTACTGGTTTTGCCATGACTGAGATGCAGTTGCAATCAGGACAGAACAGCTGCAAGAGAGCACAAGTCTTTGTCTAGAACATGATCTTTGTCATGCTAAATCTAGTCCCTAACTCAGGATGCAGTTAGCATACACTTCCACATCTCCTTTCCTCTTTGGTAAGTGTGGCTCTGACAAGGATAACCATGGTAAGCACTATCACTTCTTCAAACATCAAAGGACTAAAGCAAATGTGATTTGACATGCATGTTTTCCCAACATGTGAGGCTGATCAGCTTCAATAAAACAATTATAGAGAATATGTTGTTGCTTCTGAAATAGTTGTCTACTTTGCCAACCTTTCCTTAGGTAATCACAGCATTCTTTCATTCTAATATCTCTACATGATCTGGGTATTTCAGGGGTTCCCCTCCTCAGACCTCCCTGCAGAAGGGCTGTAATTACATCACCAACAATTACTTTGCCAGTCTTTGATCTGAAGTCATAGTAACATTCACTCAGAGAGCATCAAGCAGACTGGTATGTGACCTAAAACTGTATAGGGCATTTCTCCTTAAGAAGTTAGGATTATGACTCTAAGGATTAAAGAATAAAACAATAAAACAGGAAGGCAAAATTCAGACCTTACACTATTAGGAACTTGCCTAAGACTTCAGTCAGAGGCACAAATATGTATCAGTATTTGTTGCATAAAAACACATTTTTATCTTTAACCTCCAGGAAGCATCTATTGTGCTAGTTTAATTAAAGAAAAACATCAATATGTTGTTGCAGCCATATAGCAATGTTAATCAGACATTTACTCTTTTGGCATATACAATGTTGGCTTGTCAAAAGAATAATCTTTCACTCTCCCACAGGCACACATTGGAGGGAAGATTTTCCAGTTTTCACATTCTACTTATAGATGGAAATTGTATTTTCATTTTTCTCCTCTGCAAAGGCAGGAATATTACTCAACAAAATATAAGCTGTGTATCTTTCTTTTAGCAATAACAATAGAATAAATAGAAACTGAAAATCTTAAGTTGTTGCAATGCTGTCAGACTGGTCACTGGAAAAAGCAAAGACTGTGTTTCTTTGCTTATGTCATTGTTTAAGTTCAGCTGGCAACCAAGCACCACATAGCTGCTCACTCACCTGCCCCTCCACCCAGTGGAATGGGGAGGAGAATTAAAAGTTAAACTTGTAGGTTGAGATAAGAACAGTTTAATAATTGAAACAAAGTAAATAATAATAATAAATAATAATATTAATAATAATAATTAAAAAGTAAAACCCAAGGAAAAACAAGTGATGCACAATACAACTGCTCATCACCCACTGACCGATGCCAGACCCTGTTCCTGAACCACAATTGGACCTCCTTCCAGGTAACTCCCCAGTGTATACATTGAGCACGATGTTCTAGGGTATGGAATATTCCTTCGGCCAGTTAAGGTCACCTGTCCTGGCTGTGCTCCCCCTCAGATTTTTTTTGTGCACCTCCTCACTGGCAGAGCACGAGACACTGAAAAGTCCTTGACTTAGGGTAAACACTACTTAGCAACAAGCAAAACATCAGTGTGTTGTTAACATTATTCTCATAATGAATCCAAAACACTGCACTGTACCAGCTGCTGTGAAGAAATGAACTCTATCCCAGACAAAACCAGGATGGCTTACTTATAAGTAATTAATGAATTAAAGCACCACAGTATCTTCTTACTTAATCTGTTTATTTTCCTTATTCAGATAAGAGTTGTCAGTTTCAGTGGTGTACTGCATCTTGAGTTTAATCTGAGCAGTACTTATTTGTCAAAGACTCTTCCCAGCTGACAGAACTGTGAAAAATGCAATTATACAAAGCTGATAGATTATTTCTTTCAAGAAGCAGAAACTGCCACATTTATTCACATTGCATGTAGAAGCCTGCACACAATTTTGTCAAAATGTGAAGATATTATGGACAGACATTGGCAGAAGTATTTTCAGGTTTTTAGTGTGTCCATATTATGTCTATATCACCAGTACAGCTTAGAAAGTATATTAAAAAAACTGTATTCAAACAGAATATATTAACTTCTCTTCTTAAAAAGGGCTGTAATTAAGTTTTCCCCTTTACCTGACTGATATTATCTTTAAGTGTTATCTTTATGGTCTCACCTCTCTTCCCTCAACAAAAACGATGCTAACGCATAGACTGACAGGACTAAAAAGGAATCAGAGGGGAATACGGGATGACCCACATAAAAAGCTGCTGAAGTTGATAAGAGCATAAGTCTGCAATATTTCTTTTTTTTTTTTTCCCTTTTCCACTTCTACCAGCTGCAACACAAAGAAGAGAGCATGACCTTCACAAATCAAGTGACCACATAACTGCTAAAAAGATAGAACTTCTCTCTTATAATGAAAGTGTCCCACAGGAAGATGAACCACTTGTCTACTCACAGGACAGAGTATGACTTCTTTCCAGCCACAAAGCAAAATGAACTTCCAGTCTCTGGGATTGAAAACTTGGACCTGAAAATAGGAACGAACAGTCTCATAATGTCCCAGGAGGAACCCAAGAACATGATTTATTCTGCTGCCAGGTGAATCTCTCCCAATTGTTCTCAAAAACTAGCTTCTATTCAACTAAAAGCTAAAGAAAAATCTCTTCCTTACAATTTAATATAATAAAAGATGCTGTAACAATGGAATCTATAAATTCATTTATATATACATAGATACAGAGAGAATATATTTGAATGTAAACTTAAATATTGACATTTAAAATGGAAAATACAGTATACAGATGCATTCTTTCCTGCAATTAAAGCCATGCGAAAGCCATGCTAAACTGCTGAAAGAAATATTATGCAAAATAAGTTTTTGGTATTCTGGATTTTCTTTAAACATCTTCATCCAAGGTTAGATTTGCAGTCTAGGTGATGAGAAACAAGGTTTGCTTGTTTTGTTTCCGGAGCTAAATAAAGTTGGAAAATTGTGATTAATTTTGTATTAAAAAGCAAAACAAAGGTAGTTAAAAAGTACAACTGCAGAAAGTTTAACCTGATAACTCAAGATTTGAAGCTGAATATATTTGTAGAGTTATTGGTATAACATTCTGGCTTATATCCATCACTAATATCATATAGACAGAAAAGCAGATACACTTAACGTGGTTAATTGAAGGTCTTTAATTGCTGTCATGGAGAAATCCCCAGGGAGCAGAAAATTCCATGTTTTCCCCTTTTGATGGCTAAAAAGTTTCAATGGTTGCAGAATGATTGCACTGTAACAGGTGGGGATTATCTAAAACCCTATTGAGTGGCTCTGTTTCTCTTCTAAATAGAGATTTAATGTCTAAGTTGGAGACATGCTGGCCAGATCCAGGCATAGATGTGTTCTTACAGTGCCAGAGGCCTCCTGTGGAAGATGGTGACAAAGCCCTATTGACTTTAGCAGCAAAGCCCTCTCTCTCTAGCATTACAGCCCAAGCCAAATATAATTTGCGTCTGCTTTTCCCGCCTCCTCCTTCTCCATCAGTACCACTCCCCAGTCGGTGCCTGATGTGTTGTTTCACCAGTGGGCATTCAGCCTTTACCATCAATAACCAGCTGCCTTAGCACTTGGCAGCTGCTGTTATCCTTTAGGGCCTGAAGTGGTGTCTCAACCATGGAGCAGCATATTTGCATCCCTAATTACTAACTTACTCTAAGGCCATGACAGTGTTGGTTCCTGAGCTGCTAAATTAAAATCTTGATAAATCTTGTCATTTTGTTGAGAGCCTGTGGCAGTGAACAAACACAAATGATGAATTTACTTACCTGATGGATATGAAGCCTTAGGGTTTTTTATATTTTTTTAAATTTATTTATTTTTAAAAGGTACCAAACATTTGGAGCAGCATCAGAACCCAAATGAAATTCCAGCAAACTTCCATTAACCAATGGAATCTGGAGGTATTCAAACACCTCAACCAAGCAAGACAGTTTCATGTGCTCATACTTAAAAGGAGCAGCTAAGGAAGAAGAAGAAAATATTAAAGCAATAATATTGTGGTCTTAAGCTAGCCAGAGTTAAGATTAGTGTGTGTGTGAAAAGAATCACAAGGTCAAGCTGGAAAGCTGCTTGAAGCATGGCTGTTCATTCACATGGATGTTTGTGGTATGTGAGAGAGAAGAAGACTTCTGCCTGACTGGAGAGCTCGGATACAGAGCCTGTAGAGAAGCCATAGAGAGCCTGTATAGAGTCATGGAGTAATAAAGGTACAAGAGAGCTCTGCCTGGACAAAAGTCTGTCCCACTTGAATTCACTCGCTGCAAATGGTGCAGTGTGAGGACCCTTTTTCCAACAATGGTGCCCCATGTCCCACACATACTGACACAGGCTAACACATAAACACTTTGACAAAGAGTAAGCCTGCAAAGCAGGCTGACTAAGATGTGAAAAATGCTGTAAATCAACACAATCAGAGCAAAGTTTGCCCAGTTTGCTATTCAGAAATTAAAAGTATATTCCATCTATAGAATTTTTTGACATGCCTGCAGAGCTTGGCACCAGAATTGAAGCATTAAAATCCATTTCAAAGCTGTTGCACGAGTGCAAAGAGGATTCTCTAGAAATGCCAAGATAGCACCACAGGCTAGCACAGGAGGTGGCACAATCAATACTCATCCACAGACTTCAAAGATAGCCACCAAAGAACAAACAAGCATTAGCTTTCAAACTATGTACTGGGGGTGCTCTCCAGAGCAGTCAGAATAAGTCTCCCTGTTTCATCCCCATTTTTTCCCAGGCTGTGCTCAAGACCTTACAGTTCTCTCAATGTTCTCAAGACCACCCCACAGCTCTCTCAATGGACTCCAGCCTTCTCAAACAAGACTGCCACCATCTCTCTATCTCACTGCATCTCTGTCTCCAGTTCTGTCATATTCTTTCTTCCTGCCATCATCCAAATTTGTCTCACAAGGCTTTTCTTTCCCCTTGCCTTCCTCAACTCCCCAAGGCTGTGTCTACATGAGAAAATAGAAGATCCATAGGGTGAATCAGACCTGAAAGCCCATGCTATACACATTTCATAGCTAGTTTCACTGCTAAAGAAAGTATGGGATTCCAAAGGAAATTATGCACCTCCTGATGTGAAATCTGTCATCTTCACTTAGGTTTTCTATAATGTAAAGCAGTCATTCACCATGGAGTATTTTTGACTAGAAATCACACCACTAGCACACTACCATACTGAAATTATGTCCCTTTGCATCCTTTTTGAAACACATTTTACTATTTGTTCTATAGGGTTTTTTGTATTTATTAAAAGTACAGTAAGATGCTTGCTACTCACTAAGTTGAGAACTTCCTGAGAAAAACATCAGTGTTGACTTTATTTTATGGGGTTTTTTATGTGGGAAAGAAGCGTTAGGTGACATAGGATTTAAATAAAAAAGAGTTATTTCTTTTAGAAATGTTATACAGAAAAAATGTCATTGTATTTTCTCATAGCATATTTACCCACATGAAAAAATAGGTCAGTATTAGCTTATGATTCCAACTCAATTTCATTCTTAAATATGTTAGTCATTGGTAAGGCACCTCCTTTTGTGTTCCTGTCAGACCTTTCCCATTTCAGTCGTATAGGAAAGAAAAAAAAATAAAAAAGGAAAAACAAAAACCAAAACACACCTCTTTTCCCATTCTTTAATAACTTTTCCTCACTGTCTACTTCAATCTCCTTCCTCACTCTCTAGTAGCCTTCCTATCTCCACAGCAACACTGTTCTTTCATTTCCTATGCAAGTTCCCCAACAAAAGACTATGAAGAAAAATACGTACATTACAGATTAACAAGGTTACTATTTATCTCTGACTGTTCCATTTAAGAAAATTTATAATAAAGACAGCACAAATCTCACATCCCTACCTCCCTACATCATGGGGGAGGTTCCATGTAAAGTTTTGAGAAAGTCTGGGCTAGAATTTTCAAATATCATATGATTAATACATAATTTAAAGTTTGATATGCCAAAATAGCTGTAAGGTTTTGCATTTTATATTCTAAATAACAGTACTGATTGTTCAGAAGGTTTGGATTCTAAGCCTAACAAGACTGAAATAAGACTGATGCTGTATTTGGTTTAGTAAACATATGTTTTTCTCTTGAAAATCAGCACATCTGCAGAAGTGTATGAATAGACATATATATTTTTATGATCTGTCCATCATATCTTAAGACATGCAGTAGTTATATACCTGTGTTACATTGCTTCAAAATCATTGTTTTCAAGAAGGAAATATGAAAACAATATTTTCTCTAACAGACGTAGCCTTTTTCCTACTTTTTTATGCCTGTGTAATTAAACAAATCATGTACTCCACTGCAATATTGATTCCCAGGAAGCTAGAAGATTGGAATAGATGTTTCTGTCAACTTGCAACACCTACAAAGCAGATGAGGCCCTTCCATTATGTGTTGCATAAATATAACTTTGAGCTAATAATTCTATGGAAAATTTCAAAGGAAATGTCAAGGAAATTTAATTTCAAGGAAAATTATGAACATGCTTTATTTGCACATTTTTTAAAGGCTAGGATATTTATTTACCTATTTTACAGAGGGTTTAAAAAAAAATTCATGTCCTATTTTGACATTTGGGCACCTTGTCAATATCACTTCAACAAAGTTTTTGAGAACTAAGTAAAATGAGGTTAAAGGGGAAAAAAAATTTGATGCAGCTATCTAACCATCACTCAGCCCATTCTCTCCCTACAGACTGATGAGGAAAGATGAAAAGAATGTTTGATGAGAGCTTATCAGAGTACAGACCCCACATTTTTCTCTAATTTTCAGTGATAAAACCCACCACTCAGACCTCCAAAAGAAGGTGTTTTACTGCTGCTCAGTTACTTTGTATATACATTGATGGATATATATATACACACTCTTTTCTCACCTTTCTCCCATACATTTCGAACAAACAACTCCACCTTGCAGATCCACTGAGAAGTACTTAAGTATAACTTAAAGGTTATATGGTTACATATTCAAGAGCCAGGAGACACACCAGAGTAAGGGCTAAACTTTTAGGTTTATAGTAGTGGCTCTTTCATTATTGCTCTTCATGGTCCCATACTGACACAATAGAAATGATACCTTCCAGTTCTTTAAAGGCAAAGAAATAATTAACCATTTCTAAATCTACATAGTTTTTAAATCCTTTTACATTAAAATTAAGATACTAAAATTTAGTTAATAGGTTAACAAAACTGAGGTATTAACAGTTTGCCTAGGAACTCCAGATGAATGCTATCCAAGGTACCTAAAGGAATTCTGTGGGGAGGAAAAAACAAAAAAAAGAAAAACGAAAAAAAAGACATTTTTGTTCTTTCACAGATAATAATTCTATATAAATTGGCTGTGATGAATGCTGGCACTGAAGTGAGTGAGATGTAAATGCTACTCTCAGCAATTAAACTAAATAGAGTTAAATAGAAGTTTTAAAGTTGCTGAAGCATAACTCAAGTAATTAAGGCATAAAAATG